AACGGAAGTAACGAGCATCTTGGCAAATCCATCAGCCACTTTGGTCCTAGAGAACAAAAATGGGTTCTTGTTGCCATTAATTTCAACGGGGTGGCTCTCACCACTTGTCAGGCTTTCATCAACTAGCAAAGAATAGCCTTCCAAGAATAAGCCATCAGCAAGAACCTGGTCTCCAATCTTCACCATGACGTCGTCGATAACGATGTCATCTATAGAAACTTGTCGCCGACCACTGCGTATGACTTCGACTTGGACGATATTATTGCTATCTTGCGACAGCTTGCCTAACAACTTGTTCTTTCTGAAATTGCTCTCACCACTGAGGGCATACACGGCAATGATGAAGGAACAGAACCGAAAATGCTACCGTCGTAAAATCCTTCTTTGATTCCATTCCTTTTGACTTCAAAGCCGAGAGACACAGCAGCACATGCGAAGAGAATAAGAATGGTGGGGTCCAAGAACGCTCTTGCCACGGAATGAAAGAAGCCTTTTGAAGATCGTGTTTGGTAAGTGATGGAATCAAAAGCTTCTCGTCGGTCCATGACAAGAACGTCGTCGTAACTCGTAAGTAATTATGATGGAAACGTATAAACCAAAAATAAAAGATCGATTTATATTTGTATTTTATGCTACTCAAATCGCATTCAAATTAATTGATACACAATTACTCCTTTAGGGTATTAAAAAAAATGTTGTATATACACTCCTTCCATTTTTAAATGAAAGTAAATTTTAATCAACTCATATAATTTAAAAAAGTTAATTAATCATGATAACTATGTATGAAATTAAAAACTTTGGACTATATTACTCTTGTAATTAATATAGCAAGTTTGTCTCTTAAAAATAAATTTGTCTCTTAATTTTAGGCTAAAGTACATATTTAATCTTTTAACTTTACACAACATTTTATTTTAATTATTTAACTTTATAAATTATTTTTTTTAGTTTTTAGTTTTATCCTAACAAATTTTTACATTGAACTTTTAAATATTAATAAAATATTTTTAAATATTAACATATTAAGTTTAATTTTTTTTAAATAATAATGAATCACACAAAAAATAATCATTTAAAATTAATGATATTAGGATTAAAAGATTCAAGTGATACTTTATAAAATTAAAAGATTAAATTAAAATTTTATATAAAGTTATAGAATTAAAGGTATACTTTAGTCCTTGATTTTGTGAAAGGTAATTTAGAAAGGATGTAATAAATGCTTATTGAATTTCATAATTTTACTCATGAAAAAAACATAAAATAATTTCTTTTATAATAAAAACGGACGGAGTAAATGCTAAAAGAAAGAAACAGACAGGCAAATTCACGGAATTTTCGAAATATCCTGCTTCGAATAATCGAATCCATATTCCATGAAAACGCGTCTTAATTTATATTTTTTTTATTCCAACGTCTTTACTTTTTTTAAAAAAATGAAAATAAAATGTAGTCGAATTATGAAAATGATGATTTAGTCTTTAAAAATGTCATAATTTTAATGAAATTTCTATGAACATTTGTGTTAATAAATTTTAAAGTGAAAAAATTATTTTACCCTTACTGAAAATAATAAGCCCCAATTATAACTTTTGTTTGAGGAATTTGTTCTATAAATCACAAGAGTTGAATAAAAAATTATAATTATTCAAGTGTAATTTTTGTTATTAAAAAATAAACTTCAATCACAATTTTTTTAAGGAATAATAATTTTTCTTTTGTAAATTATAAGATTTGAATAAGATATCATAATTTGTCAAGTGTAATTTTTATTATTAAAAAATAAGTTTTCAAAATAATAAATCACATTTATAATTTTTATTTAAAGAATCACAACTTGTAATTAAGAGTACAATTATCTTTTCAATTTAAAATTTATTAATACAGAGATTCCTAAAATTTTATTAAAATTATGATATTTTAAGAGATTAAATTATTATTTATATAATTTAGAGAAATTTTATTATCATTTTTTCGTTCAAATCCCTACTATTTGCTTTCTTTTATTCCCTAAAGGGAACCATGTGTGTCATTTGAATTTAAATACTCAAAAATTTAAATTTGTGGATTTATGTAAAATTTATCTTTTTAAGAAAAATGGGAAGATTTTATATTTTATAAAAAAATAATAAAATGAGAAAAAATACTAAAAAATGAAAATTTTATCGAAATTCGAAAAATTCAACTTAACTCCATGTCATTTTCACCTTCCAGGCTTTCATATTTTTTTAAGAGAATTGCAAATCTTACATATATTTGTTAGAATTAATCAAAATAATAAATTTTCTAAATGATATATAGGACCTATTTGATTTTTTTTATAATATTGTTTTATTCTAAGAAAAAATGATAAAAACTTGTTTGAAAATGTGTTTTATGCTCTCTATATTGAAAAATAAAAAAATATAAGTTGTTATAAATAAATAAAAAGCCAGAACATCTCTTAGATGTTTTGTTATTTTTTATTCTGCAAAACTAGAGAAAATATATAAAATATTATGCTTTCATAAATGATAATTATGTTAATAAAATAAATTATTATTTCACCAATTTAGATATAATTTCCAAAATAATAATTCAAACATATTTTTTTTATTTTTTGTTTGCAAAACTATTCTACAGAATTGTTTTAAGAATATAAAAACAGAAAATAATACAAAACAAGCCTTGTAGTTTCTGGGTATTTTTGGCTAAAAAGAAATGGAAGAATGGCAATAAAGTTAGAGGTAATGAGATTACTTACCTTAAATGAGTTCAGAAAAGTAATATAAAATATTACTTATAACAACAAATAAAATGCTATATAGTATAAAATAAATAAAAGAATTCATCCGTAACATGTTGATTAAAAAAAGAAAAATAATAATAAAATTCCTTCAAATTATATAAATGATAATCTGGTCTCTCAAAATATCATAATTCCTCTAAAATCTCTAGCTAGGGACCTCTTTATCAATAAATTTTAAATTAAAAATATCATTTTACCCTTAGTAATAAGTTATGATTTTTTGTTCAATTCTTGCTATTACTTGAGTAAAATTATAATTATTTAAACAAAAGTTATAAACGGGGTTTGTTGTTTGGAGAACTTATTTTTTAATAATAAAAATTACATTTGATAAATTGTTATTTCATGTTCAACTCTTGCAATTTATAAAATAAAAGTTGTTGTTTCTTAAGCAAAAGTTGTGATTAGGGTTTATTTTTTAATAACAAAAATTACACTTGACAAGTTATGATTTCTTGTTCAACACTTCAACTCTTGCGATTTACAAAACAAAAGTTATAATTTCTTAAATAAAAGTTATGATTAAGGCTTGTTATTTTCAATAAGAGTAAAATGGTCTCTCCACTTTAAATTTATTGACACAGAGGTTTTAAGGGACTTCATTAAAATTATAACATTTTAAAAAATTAAATTATTATTTATATAATTTTAAAGGATTTTATTATCATGTTTTTCCAAAAAAAAAAAACCCATCCGCAACATGTTCAAGCCTCTTGTTTGTTTTCGTCTCGTGTCTAGTTTGGTGTGTTTTCTGCCTTCAGATTTGTTATTAGTCAGACTTATAATTTGGGCTTTCAGTTTTCATTTTGAAAGTCCTTTTGTTTGCAATCATTTTATTATTATTATTATTTGACTTCATTTAAAAAAAATCACAAATAATTAATTAGGACCATGGAATTGTGAAATTGAATTTTAGGAATAAGATCCTTTGTGTAATTTTAAAAATAATATTTTGAATAATATTTTGACTAAAATGCGCCTGTCTGGACCTTTTAGTTTAGTTAAAGTATTATTTTTAAAACCACAAAAAAAGACCATAGTCTTAAAATATAATTTCGTAATTTTGTAATCTTCATTGGTTATTTGCGATATTCAAATGTCCTTATTTGTGATTTTCCCAATTTCAAAAGTGGTTCTAAAAATTTACAAATAGATACCAAGCTTGATATACTGTAATCAGTGAATACTAGCTATTCAAACGATGATTCAAAAGTTCATTAACTTCAATAGTATGCTGGACAATGTGGCTGAAACCTCATTCACCACTTCTGGAACAGTGAGTGAAGCATTAGAGAAGAGTCTTCTATTTCTTGTATCTCATAGTTTCTGGTTGACTATCTGATAAAAGGATGTGTTTGGTTGGTTGGAATTCATTCATTTCATATAAATACTTGCTTAGGATTGATATTCTAGTTGTATTGTAGTTATAAGACAATAAGGCATTATGAAATGTATGTTCTCCTTAGTAATTTGACAGCAAAAAATACTGATTTTGGAAGAACTGCCATACACTGATGACATTAGTGAAAACACTCAACGGATGAATTGACCATGATTAAATTACTTTTTAGTTAGAGCTCATTGAAGAAATCTGGTATATGAAGACTACAAATTAAGACCACCTCGTCTTACGGATGCAAACACTTGCAAGGAACCAAGAAAGTCCTCCTGATGGAATCTGGCTGAGTATTATGATAGTTCAGTTGGAACTGTTGTACAATATTTGTGAGTCTAATTGGGAGAAATCTTAAAGTCTCCTGTTAATGTCCAAATTTATGAGCATACTCTGGCCCTACTTTTTAATAAAAGTTGAATACTGCAGGCAACTTGAGAGCGACTCATGAAATGCCCCTACTAAGGACCTCAATATAATGGCAGTTCAATTTTTAAATATATATGGCTGACTAGTTTTGTTGTAAAACACAAGTTTAATTCAACAACTCAATGTGTTTTGTTCCAGAGAGGGATAAAACGTCAACTTGTTAGCTTCAGTTCAAATATTAATTTTCAGTCAGAGAATGAAAATGGTAAGGATGTAACTAGACTTTTTATGATTTCCAAATTGTATTATATCTCAATTACATTGCATCATAGAAAATGCCAATATACCATAAATGAAGATAATAAGTACAAATTCAACAACATTAGGAAAAATATTAGACACCATGCGCGCTCACACATAGAATAAAGTTGATACAGGAGCAAAATATAACAGGACCTGTTTATTATTGATCAAGAGATGAATCTGCTTAATAACTTCCAACTACTTATTAAATTACAATCATCCAAACTATAGCTAAAAACTAAATAAAGAACATTTTCTTTACCATGAAGGAAATGTTAAAAATTCTAAAAACACAAAAAGTGAAACAAAGGAGATCAGACCCCAACACAGTACTATCATATAACAATCTACAAGCAATTGTTCATTGCCTCTTCATGTTAAGAAAACTAAGTAGTGGTCTCTCAAGGACAGGAATGAACTTCACAACCCAACCAATAGGCCAAGAAATAGCTGCCATTAAAATGCAAGCACCCCATTGACCCCAATTCAACCTTTCAGTGTTTGCAAATTTCTTCAAAAATTCCACCATCAATACTTGAAGCACAATGGTCATCCCTATAATCCCTATAAACAACTTATTCCTGTGAATCCCCTTGAAAACATTCTTTTGCTCTAGCTTCCTTGCATTAAACTCATTAAACACTTGGCATAGCACAAATGTGTTGAAAATCAATGTGTCATTTACCTCTGAACTCACCCCAAATAAAGCCTCACCCTTGAATTGTAGTGTTAGTAGAATTGTGATTTGGTATAAAGCTTGGGTTAAGAGATTTCTCCACATTATGTTGGTGATGAGAGGCTCAATTTTACCTACTGGAGGTTTGTCCAATAAATCCATTGTAGGCTTCTCTGTTGCCAGAGCTAGAGCACCCAAAGTGTCCATTATCAAGTTCACCCACAAGAGTTGAACTGCTGTTAATGGCACTTCTCCTGCTGATATTGCAGCCACACAGTTAATTGTAAGTGCTGCAACATTTACTGTTAGTTGAAACTGGATGAACTTTTGAATGTTGTTATAGACGCACCTTCCCCACTTTAGAACTGTAGCAATTGAGGCGAAATTATCATCCAGTATAACTATATCTGAGCTCTCTTTTGCAACTTCAGTACCTTGTATCCCCATAGAAAGTCCTATATTAGCTTCTTTCAATGCTGGAGCATCATTAGTGCCATCTCCTGTGACTGCAACTACATGACCTTTCTGTTTGAGGCATTGAACCATGAGGAGCTTGTCAAATGGGGAGGATCGTGCCATCACACAAATTTTTTCCACTCTCTCTAGTCTTTCTTTAGGAGATAAGTTTCGGAATACCTCACCTTCAATTACTGCTTTTTCTGTGTCATGATTAGGCTTGAGGATGTCACATTCTGTGGCTATGGCCTTAGCTGTGAAAACATTGTCTCCAGTTATCATCTTCACATTTACTCCTGCTTGTTGGCAATCTTGCACAGCTTTCTTGACACCTAGACGACATGGATCCTTAATACCAACAAATCCTAAGAGGGTGAGGCCTTCTTCTATTACCTTTTGGCTTCCTTGTTCATCTTCTTTTATTACTTCTGAATGTGCGAAAGCAATACACCTGAGGCTACTGGCCGCCATTCCTTGAATGATTTGCTCAAACACCAACTTTTTGTCATTGTCAAGATCTTTGATATTGCCAGAAGCATCATAGTACTTCGAACACAATTTGAGTACCATCTCAGCTGCTCCTTTCCAATGTGCATGAATTTTATTATTTGCTTTCCTTTGAATCAAAACCCCACTTCTTTTCTTCTTTGAATTGAAAGCTTCCACATGAAGGATGGTGCAATTTTGCATGAATTGCTCCATGTGCATGTCCAAATCATGAATAGCCCATGATAAAATAGCCTTCTCAGTTGGACTACCTAAAAACTCATATTCAAAATCGGTTGATGACTTAGACTTGTAAACACTACCTGTTGTGTTAAGGGCAACTCCTTCTTGGATCAACTGTAGAACATATGAATTGATTGATGATTTATGAGGTTTCTCTTCCGTTGGTTGCTGCCCAAACCAAAACTTAGTTACCTTCATCTGATTGAGCGTGAGAGTCCCAGTCTTATCAGTGCAAATGGTTGTAGCAGATCCCATAGTCTCGCAAGCAGAGAGCTTCCTCACCATAGCCATGTCAGCCATCATTTTCTTCATGGAATAAGCCAATGTCAAAGTCACGGCCAAAGGAAGCCCTTCTGGAATCGCAACAACAACTATAGTGACTGCAGCAGCAATAATTCCCACAACTCCATTGATGATGTCATCAAACTTGGTTCTGCTCCCATTGAACTCTTTATTTCCATTCTCATCTGTTGTGTTCCCTGTGAAGTAGCGGACTAATAGCACAACAAGAACAAGAAAAGCTACAGCCAAACCAACCTTGCCTATAGCAGAAGTAAGCTTATCGAGGCGAGCTTGCAAGGGGGTTTCTTCGTTGTTGTCTCTGCTAATTGTAGACATCATTTGACCCCATGTCGTGTTCGTACCAACAGAAGTAATGAGCATTTTGGCGAACCCATCAGCCACTTTCGTGCCAGAGAACAAAAATGGGTTTTTGTCACCGTTAATCTCAACGTGGTCGCTCTCACCTGTCATGCTTGACTCATCAACTTGCAAAGAATGGCCTTCCAAGAATAAGCCATCAGCAGGAACTTGATCTCCAATTTTCAGCCACACAACATCGCCGACCACAATGTCATATATAGAAACTTGTTGCCGCCGACCACTTCGTAGAACATCGACTTGGATGTTATTGCTAACCTGGGATAGCTTGTCGAACTGTCTGTTCTGTCTGAAGTTACTAATGGAAGACACGGCAATGACGAGAAAAACAGCAACGAAGATACTTCCTCCGTCGTACCATCCTTCGTTGATTCCATTCTCTTTGATGCCGAAGCCAAGAGACAGAGCAGCACAAGCCAAGAGAATGAGAATGGTGGGGTCCTTGAAGCCTTCAATCACAAAATGAAAGAAGCCTTTTGCAGGTGGTTTTGGGTAAGTGTTGGAACCAAACGCTTCACGTCGTCGATTGACGTCATTGGATTCATCATCACCACCACCACCTTTGACTCCATAATCTATGTTGGTCTTTAGAGCAGAGACCACGCCAATGACCCCACCAAGACTCTGAAGTGTCTCAGAATTTTTCCCCTTCACGAGATTTGAGAGGGTGGTTTGGCTAACACTGAACGAACGATCTGTGTTTACATTGATAACAATGTCGGAGGAAGAAGGTGATAACTTAGACCCGTTCTTGTTCTTCGTGGTGGCGAGCAGATTGGATGTGAAGTGAGAGAAGAGAGCTCTAGAACAATAGATGCTAACAAAAGCCGAATGCCATTTTTTATTGGGTTTTCTAAGGTTGTGAGGGACATTCAAAAGTGTCTGTATACGCTCCATATTGGTGACGAAGGGCGTAGACATGATTGCTTCAGAAGCAATAAACTCAAAATATGCAGTGATCTTTTTAAGGAACTAAGAGCTGAACAATATATTTTTGATGTCTAAGAACTGAAATATGTATGAAGGATATTATGAAGGTGCTGTAACTGAAGAACACAGAGCAATAGCAGAAACTTGTATACACAGTGAGATAAAGAACAGAAAAGTCAACAAGTCGTACCAGGGAGATCACGTAAACTTGTATTCGCTGTGAGATGACGAACTGAAAACTTCGTTATATATATATATATATATATATATAAGATTCAAACACGGTGTCTTGGATTCGCTTCATCTGACAATTTGCTTTCGAATTTATTCACAAAGGGCCTGAGGTTTCGCAGAAATAGTATCCTTTGTTGCTTAAAATTCAAGGATGGATTCGAGGCCCAGTTTGCTTGAAGACCAGGTTAATGAGAGTTAAAAAGCAATTATCATTTCTCATTAAATATGAAAATATTTATGGTAAGAAGACAATGGACAGTGAACCTGCTGCATGTTCCCCAGAGACAAAAATCAAGTTGACGATGCTCTTACAAAGAATGGTATTAGTCATAATGATTCTTTGACACGGTTCCTCTGTGACGTCCCTGGTGCGCTACGATTGATGGGAGAGGGTGTCTGCTATGCCTTTTGTGCTGTCCTCCCTGATGCTCTCAATCATAGCCGTCTATTTTATCTTCATCAAATCCTAGCCGTTTATGCATGTTGATTTAAACCCATTGTCTTCCTCACCACGCTTGGTAGGTACCATAGAAATTAGAAATTTATCGAATTAAAGCAAGTCTATAATTAATTAACAGGTTCTCTAAAATTAAAAAAAAAAAAACAAAATCTGACCTCATGCGCTACCGACAGGGTGATGATTTTTTTGAATTTTCGACATTTTTATTGCTGTTTTGCCTGATGAGATTCTTCGTTTCCTACAGCCACAGATTTACCTTTCAAATATTAGTCTGAATATTTAATGGCAGATAACAAGTTCAGCAAATAGCTATCCACAAAGAAAAAGGCCTTCGTTCTGTTCGAAGTCGGAAAACTCATCGGCCATGGAAGCTTTGCCAAGATCATCGACAAAGAGAAAATTCTCAAAGCAGCTGAGATTTGGGGAGGAAGATGGATTGGGAAAAAAAAAAAAACTATGCGACTGAAAGGACCGAGAAAGAAAGAACAATCGGATCGCATGAGAACAGTGGGTGAAGATGGATTTGGGATAAAAAAAAGACCAACGGTTAGGATTAAATTTGTAAATAAGCGGTCAAGATTTACTGAATCAAAACGGCGTCGTTTCAATTTAAAGACCAAATGATGATATGGACGGTAAGATTGGGCGCATTAGGAGGGCAGCAGACAAAGCGCAACATACATGGGATCTGGATCCCGAAGTATTTTAGTTTCCTGTAATGGGCTTTTGCCCTCATGTGTATCGAAAAGGAAAAAAAAAAAAAAATCAATTTTGCTTTAAACATGATCGTTTTCAGTGTGAAATAAGGGTGAGCAAAATCGAATCGAAATTAAAAATTAAATTGAATCGAATCAAATTTTATCTACTTGATTCTATCTATTCGATTCGGTTTTCTTTAAATGAAAATTTTGATTAATCAGTTTGATTCGATTTGAGAATTCAAAAATCAAATAAACTGAACCGACCGAATTATACATATTTTTCTTTTCATATTTTTGAAAATGTGAATAAATTCTTATCTAGATGAGTAAAAAACATATTTCTACTACTTGCTGTAATAGTATTTTTTTGTTTAATGTGATGTTCTAATTTTTTATTTCTATAATTTAGTTTTTAGTGTAATAATACTGAGTTTTATTAATTTTCTTATGAATTATGATATAAGATTGTTGTTTTTTTATTGGGCCTTCAACATCAAGGGAAAAATTTGGATAGAAAATTATATGAACAATTAGATTTCATAAACCCAAATCAAAGCTCATAAATTAAATAGACCGATCGAATTGAATTATTAAAATTTGATTTGGTTTTAATTCAGTTCAGTTATGTATTTTGATTCGATTCGATTCAAATTTTTTATATAATTTGATCGACTGATTTTAAAAAAATTAAAATCAAATCGATCGAATGCTCACCCTAATGTGAAATATCTGTGCGTGGCAGAAAAATATTGGTCATCCAAAATTGTAAAAAAATGTCTCAAGTGTGATTATTATAAATAAACTAATGATTCTTTACATGTTTTGTAAAATAAAGGAAAGTTTAAGTTGGATTTTAAAAGCTTTACCAGAATTACGTCATTCATAAGCTTGACAGTGCAACGATTATTTTTTTTTACTAATATTTTATATTACTTTCACTCAAGCGCGTTAGGTACTTTCACATTATATCCCTTTGCATGCTTCTTTTTTTTTGGGGGCGGGGGGTGGGGACTCCTAATATGTTTTAATATAATTTATTAATTAATAATTAATAATTTATGCACTTCCACTTTAACATAAAACAAATGCCTGTACATATTATTATTTTTATGACACAACAAATTAAGAGCTAATTCGTCGAGATCATTCAACCCAACCCACTCTTCCACTCAACCCACACTTCACTTACACTTCTCTGACAAATTCAATAGGGCTCATTTGTCTCACAAAAAAGTTTGAGGGTTGAGTTTTATATTTGGTTGAATGAAAATATTGAGATCATATATGTACGAAAGAAGAGTAAACTGTTATGATACGCATAGAATAAAGGTTATAAATAATAATAATAATGAATATTATCATTATTATTAATAAAATATGTCAAAAAAATTATTTTAATTGTCATTATTAATGAAATAAAATATAACATAATTAATAAAGACTAAGTTAGTTGGTAAGTTTTGGTTTAAATGATGTAGGTGACGCGAAGACTTTGTTTGTATGTGATTCCTAAGTATTTTCATAAGTGCTTTATGAGTTTGGAAACAAGCTTATAGAAATCAACTCATCTAATTAAACTTTTCCATACAAAAAATATAATATAATAAAGATAATTCCAATTATATTACAATAATATAATAAATTTGTTTAATTAGTTCGGAAGATCACATTTGTATTTTTATTTTAAAATTTCCTATCATATGAAAATAAAAAAAAATCAATTTTCAACTGAAAAGAGGAAAGAAAAAGCCGCTATTATTAACAGAAAAAGACCAACGAAGAATCTTGAAGGTGAAGTGAAAGTTCTGCTAAGTAATCAAAGACCACACGTTAGAGCCTCATAGAAAATTATTTATCAATTTCATTCGAATTTGTTTTCATTTGACTTGAAGAAGACCTTAAGGGGAATTTCAAAGACTTCGTGTGTGTGTGTGTGTGTGTGTCCATCAAAATCACCATCATCTTCCCAAGAAATGAATCTGATTCCAAATGCAATTTCTTAAGAAAGTGATGGAAGAAATCACAGAATATATGTGCATTGTGTGTTAATAATATTAGTAAATTAAAAAAGACCATGGTGCACTTTTTTTTAAAGAAAATGTAAATATTTCTGTTGGTTTTTGGGATCCCGAAATTTAACAATATTATTCCTGATGTCCCATACATTAATGCATGTAAGTTTCCTCTGCATCCTAAAATTTTAAGGTTTCTCACTTATTGATGAATCCCAATTTTTAGTGGTAATTATGTTATTTTCCAAATAAATTAAGGAGCCATTCATTTTAATATAATGGGATCCATTCATTTTCAATTATTTAGGTTAATGATGATAAGCACAAAATGTTTTTATACCTACAACTTTGCAAGTAATAAGTTAACAAAGTATCGTTCTCATGAAAATTTGATATATCAACAACCCAGCCGGTGAACATTAATTTAATACTTTCGCTTAATTTAATTGATATATCCAAGTAATAACTTGGATAACTTAGATTAAATGAATTAAAATTAATTGATTGAAAATACCGCACAACTACAAAAAAGTTAGAGGCAACCTCATTACTAATCCCCCAGCTGCTTCGTAGAACATGCAATCACCGTATTAAATATATTTAAAGTTAATTTTATTAATCTCAAGAATTAATTAATCGTTATAAGTGTCTTTTTAATATATATATATATATATATATATTCATTTAAATGATTGTGATTTTGATATTTAATTGGTATAATTTATAAATATTTTATTAATTGATTGATTTTATATCTTATCTTCTCATATATAATTGCAGGAGAAATTTTAATATAAAAATAACCTATATATATTTTTTTAGAAAATTGCTTTATAAAGAAGGAGGTAAAAAAGGAATCGGATAATAAAATAAAGAAGAGATAGAGCACAGAAGAAGTCACAGAGTCCAACATAAAAGAAGACAGTGACGTTACATAAGGTCAGGGCCCAAAAAGGTCATCGTAGCCAAAGGAAAAGAGATGGTCAGAACGCGTGATACCATTAAAATGACAATTATAGACTTTATGAAGGCATTAATAATAATAAAAAAATTAATTTTTTAATTTTTTAATTTTTAATTTACTTGTAACTCAATTCTTTAATTATGATTTGTTTACGACTCAATCCTTCAACTTTTGAATCACTTACAAATTAATTCCTGAACTTTTATTAATTTTTTTTCATATTAATTTATATCTCACATCAATGAACAAGGAGAGAGTATTTTAGAATAATATATGAACATTTTTTTATTCCCCTTATTTGATAAGAAATTTTTTTAAAAAAAATTAAAAAATAAGGACTGAATTATATAGGTGAATCAAAAATTGAGGGATCGAGTCGCAGTAAGTTATAGTTAAGGGATTGAATTATAAGTGAGTTAACAGTTGAAGGATTAAAAGATTAATTTTTTAATAATAATTAAAGACTTTAAATTATTCAAATATCATAAAAAATTATGGTCTTTATTTAAAATTAAAATATTTTTAATTATTAAAATAACTAATAAAAAATGAGTTGTAAATTTAAGGAAAATCATTTGAGAATTTTTCTTTTTTGGTTTATTTTGGCTGTTTTTGGTTTATTTATAAATCATTTGAGAATTTACGGAAAGTTAATGTAAATTAATAGATAATTTCATGAATATTCAGCAAATTTATAAATGAAGGAAAGTTCTTGTAAATATATAAAAAAATTAATTGTGAATATATATTTTAAAATATGAAAGTGAACATAAAATTATTGATTTATAATTAAAACAATTTATATTCATTCACAGTTAGCATTCCATATACTTACAAGTAATATGCCTTAAATTTAAAATTGATTATCTCTAAATTACAAGTAATGATGCATAAATTTTTATGATTATATATTATAAAAATTTATTAGTGATCGTTCTAAAATTTATAAGTGAGTATTCTTAATTCACAAGTAACAATGTAAAATTTCGTAAAAGTTATGTATTCATTTACAGTTCACTTCCCATTAATTCACAAGTAAAATTATTTAAATTC